GCGTGTGTGATGTCACCCTTCACTGTGTCGCTCAGGTCTGGAGGTCACTGCTTATCTGATCCATCTGTTGATCCGGTAGAGGGAAGGATGATAAGCATAGGGGTAATTTCCTCAAGAAAGGGCAATTATCTTAACAGAATGAGAAGAGAGAGAATAAAGTATCCACTGAATCTACCTTCTGTATTTGTAAGGCAAAAGAGATGGGAAAACCAAAGATCACGTACGCCTACATCCTAGATGATAACAAGGATGCTGGAGGTACCTCTAATCATGGTCCATGATAGAAAGAGAAAAAAGTACTGGAGAGATTAAATAAGGTGACATTGACATTGAGAATGTTGAATATGAATACTGAAGTAGGCAGAAAACAAATAACAAAGAGAACCCGCAAGTAAGAGAAGTTGGCAGAGCCAGAAATTTGGCGGAAAGAATGATAGAATTTAAGTTGTTAAAGTAGATGAAATCACTTAAGCAGAAAATGTAGTGAAAAATAAATGGGCTTATATTAAAGGGGTATATAAAAGAAGGCATTGTGACTATAAAAAAATACTTCAAAAGGCAAAATGGTTCAGCTTCTATGAAGACTTGCTCCACCTGATTAAATGCAGCAAAAGATGAGGAGGAGAATTAGGAATGGAAAGAGCTAATATAAATTCAGTGACTAAGAATGTTATTGTTGTATTTCACTAGAGCAGTTTTGGTAGGGGAGTTGAGATGGAAACTAGATTTGTTTGAGAAAAGGCTGAGAAATGAAGTAGAGAATACAGTGAGTTTAATGTATACTTTCAAGATGTTTATCATAATTTGTATGTTTATAATTTGATGATAAATAACTTGACAAGTATCTTTTAAAAAAACAAAAACAAGAAGAAATAAGGCCTGGTCTAGGGTATAAAAACAGAATATTGTAATTATGGAGTAGATAATTAAATAATAATCAATGGATCTATCCTAATTAAACAATTTTGATAATTTTTAAGGTTCAGATGGTCAAATTTACTGTTTCTATTAAATAAATTTGATAGATAGTTATATATTTATTTATGTTTTCATATCTTCTTTGTTTTCCTTTTAAACTGCTCAGTGTATGAGTATAAACTATTTGCTTATCTTTGGAGAATTTGCTGCTGCTGTCACTTTGGTTGGAGATGGGCATATTCGTATGCTAAGGCTAAGTGGCAGAGTTCCACAGACTGGGTGGTTTAAACCAGAGGTATTTACAATCTCAGAGTTCTGGAAAGTAGAAGTGTAAAACCATGGTATTGGCATGGTTGGTTCCTTCTGAGGAAGACCATTCTATGCCTCTATTCTACCTTCTGCTGGCTTGTTGACTATTTTGACATTCTTTCGATTTCAGACCTATCATCTCAATCTCTGCCATGATATTCACATGACTTTCTCCCTGTATGACTGTATTCAAATTTCCTCTTTTATGAGTATCAGGTCCACCTTGGACAAGCATGAATTGATCTTAACTAATTTTGTCTTCAATGACCCAATTTTCAAATCAGGTCATATTCTGAAGAACTCAGGATTAGAGCTTCCTTGTCTGAATTTGGGAGAGGTACAATTCAACCCACAGGGCTGGCAATGCAGCATAGCAGTTAAATTGCTGTTTGTGATGCTGCTATCCCATTTAAGAATGCCACCTTGAATCCAGCTACACTACTTCTTCTTTTAGTTTTTTTAAAGATTTATTTATTTATTTGAAAGTCAGAGCTACAGAGCGGCAGAGGCAGAGAGAAAGAGAGAGAGAGAGGGAGAGCTCTTCCATCTGCTAGTTCACTCCCCAGATGACTGCAACAGCCAGAGCTACACCAGTCCGAAGCCAGGAGCCAGGAGCTTCTTCCAGGTCTCCCACACTGGTGCAAGGGCCCGAGAACTTGGACCATCTTCCGATGCTTTCCCTGGCCATAGCAGAGAGCTGGATCAGAGGTGGAGCAGCTGGGACTTGAACTGGTGCCCATATGGGATGCTAGCATTGCAGGCAGCGGCTTTACCTGCTATGTCATAGCACTGGCCCCAAGCTGCACTACTTCTGATCTAGCTTCCTGCTAATGCACCTGGCAGAGAAGCAGAAGATGGGCCAAGTTCTTGGGCCCCTGCCATCCATGAAGGAGACCAGAATAGGATTCTTGGCTCTTGGTGTCAGCCTTGCCAAGCCCTGGCTGTTGTGGACTCAAACTGGCACTCCCTCTCTCCCTCCTCCCCCCCTTCCTTCCAGCCTCCATTCTGTCACTCTGCCTTTAAAATAAATAAGTCTTTTTTTAAAAAAAAAAACTTTTTATTTGATGAATACAAACATCATGCATTCATTAAGTAAAACTTTAGGAATATTGTGATTCTTCCCATCATGCCTACCCTTCCATCCCTACTCCCACCCCTCTTCTTCCTCCCTCTCTTATTCCAAGTCTTATTTTATACTCAGATCTATTTTCAATTAACTTTATGCACATAAGATTAAGTCTATAGTAAGTAAAGAGTTCATCAATTTGTATGATAAAAGAAAAAAAGTAAAAGAAAAAGAAGAAACTTTCTCAACTATTGAGACAAGGGCTGTTCAAAGTCATTGGATCTCAAAGTTTACTTCTTTTTAAATAAACTTAATTAACTTTAAAGAAGCACCCAAGAGTGATACATCTTTTGTACACACTTAGATATTAACTGTAGCTTATGAGACATTAGAGTATCCTTCATTAAGAGAAAGTAAGCCTTTGAGAACAAGTTTTGTTGTTAATTAAAGAAGCACCTATGAAAACAAGGAATGGAGTTGGACATTTTGACCTAACTAAAATTTATGAGACATAAGTATATCCTCCATCTGATACACTAAAATGGAATAAATCTTTGAAAACAAATTTTATTGCTAACTCTCCTAATACAACTCTTTGAGGGCAGAGGTCCTGCATGGGAAGTTAGTGCACAGTGACTCCTGTTATTAATTTAACAATTAATACTTTTATGTATGACATCAGTGATCACTCAAGGCTCTTGACATGAGCTGACTAGGCTCTAGAAGTCTTTCAAATCCACAGTCTCTATCAGTATTTAGACAAGTCCATAAGCAAAGTGGAAGTTCTCTCCTTCCCTCAGAGAAAAGTACATCCTTCTTTGATGTCCACTTCTTTCCTTTGGAGTCTCACTCATAGAGGTCCATCATGTAGGGCAATTTTTACTACAGTATCTTGGCTTTCCATGCCTGAAATGCTCTCTTGGGCTTTTCAGCCAGACCAGAATGCCTTAAGGTCTGATTCTGAGGACAGGGTGCTACTTAAGGCAATTGTCAATCTATGAATCTGTGGTATGGACTGCTTCCCATGTTGGTGCCCTTGCCGCTTTTTAATTCTTTACAAATAGTCTTTAAAAAAAATTCAATCCATGAGGTGTTGAGGCTTTACTTTTCAATATAGAATTGATCTCCCTAAACCCATAGGAGGTGTCTTCTACCTTCTCTTTAGCCTGGACCAGGTAATGCCAAGGAATAGGATAGTTGATTTGGCAGACACTACTCTCCTGATGTTTGATACAAGAGGAGGCAGTAAAGCTGAGTTGAGAGGCTCACTGGGGAGGGCACAATGGCAGCTTCCCTAGAGGTAGCATTGAACCAAGACTAAGTTTTTGGTGACTTTGAGTCCCTTGGTTCTTTCTTATTCTCTTAGGCTCACTTGCCAATATGTCCCCAAATACAGAATGTACTCACAAAATTCTAGTAATTTCTATATGGCTTTAGCTAGCCAAAGTTGGTTTCTGTAGTTCATATCAAGAAACTTGTATATGTACTTAATTATATTTTCTATCTTTGGGGTTCATCCTGTATTAAGAAAATAAGGCCACAATTCAAGGGCATAAGTTTGTGAAATTCTTTAATGAGTCTTTAAGTGTTAAATACCATTTCAATGAACAGATTTCAACTGTACTAAAACAAATGTAGTTTTGCTTCTAACTGAGTTTAAGACAAGCTAATTTCTGTCTGAACAAATGAATTATTATGAATTATTCCTATTATGAATAAGTAATAAGAGTATATATCTTTGAATTCAATTCCAGCTGACTTCAATTCCAGGTAAAGTTTTTGGATCAATATGTCTTATTTTCATTTTTTTTTTCTTCTTATTGAAATTTAAGAACATTTTCAATTATTTTTGGCTTAAAAATACTTGTATCCTAATCAATTATTAATTTAAGCCCCAGATCTTAAATTAAAATGTACACAATCTTGGCAAGTAGCTACTGTTTCATTTAAAATTTTTTGAGATTTGATTATTGTTTAAGCTCTTGTCAAACTCTTGAGGGATAGTGTTTTTTCTACTTACTGTTGTTGGATTCTTTATTTTGTGGAGGGTTAAGCTTGTGATTATAAAATAAACTGAAACTATATCATTGTAAAAATAAGAAGTAACGATAGGAAAGGAAGGAGGAGGGAGTATGGGAGAGTAGGTGGGAGGCAAGATAGGGTGGAAAGTATCATTATGCTCTTAAGTCTGTATATATGAAATACATGAAATTTTTTCACCTTATATAAGTAAAAATTTTTAAAACCCCAAAATGACAGTTTTATTTAGAAAGGCTGAGATGAATATAAAGTAACTGGTCAAGCAAGATTGTAAAAGAAAGTCTTTTTAATGTTCTTTAGGAATTTGATTCCATTTATACATAACTTTGTCTTTCCTTTGCGCTGTATAATAAGACTGGAGTTAAGCAGAAATATCACTTACAGTGTTTCAAATTTAAGATTTATTCATATTCAGGAAAAATTTAAGATTATAATGGATAAAAATAAAATATGGTCAGAGATTTTATACTATTTCAAAAGAATTTCTTCTTTTTAATATATACATTAGTTAATTTTTCAGGGGTAACTCTGAAGAGTGTTTATTTGGGCTTATAAAACCTACTTATGATTGTAATTGAATTATACAAAAAAGGAATAAATTTATATTAAAATATCTCCATCATCTGTACAGAATACTCACTGTTGAATTATGCTACTTTCCTTGTAGATATGGATGAGGGAAAGAAAACATAATTCTATTAACTCTTTGGGATTTTTAGATTATACTTCATATAGGAGGTAAGGAATTTATGAAATGAAATGCTGTTTCATATTTCATGTCAATTCTGTGATATAATTCTGTTGCACTTACAGAGTAAAAGCCAAGCTTGAAAAAAATCTCAGAAGCTAAGAGGCTGATTACCCTATAAACTGTAAAATGTGTTAGCAGCAATAAATTCCACTCCCTTGGTTCAAAGGGCATTTGATTATACCATGTATTTTCAGGACCACTCACATCAGAGCTCATCTTGAAATGATAAACAAGACAGGCCTGTAATATATACCAGAGAGTGACAAGGTGCACCTGTCACTACAAGTTTTGAGACAAAACAGTAAGCACTTGCAGACAGCTGTGTCATCCTTGAGCTCATCTATGCACAGCCTAAACAAAAGAGAAGCAGCAACACCCCACGGAAAGTCAGTTCAGGCTAGTCAACAATGATAGCACTGCAAGACCTTCTATTTTTATGGGGTCATTTTGAAAATTTTGTTGGTTAAAATCTGTTAATAAATCTACTATACATGGTACTATAAAGGATTGTTGATCACTAAAGATTTTCATTTGTATACACAAAATTTTTTAAATTCTCATGTAAATAAATATGAATACGTGCTCAATTGCTAGCACAAAATGACTGATTATACAATAAGCTTTCAATAACTTGTCCTATTGCTTTTCTATTGGCATGATTTTTAAATAGTCTAAGAGTTTGAGGTTCATTTAAAAGGAAAAGAAATTTCCAGCCTTGAATGTTTTACTTTGGTCATTTGTGCCTAATCAAACACTTCAGAAAGAACCACAACAATAAAACAAATAGTCCTTTAAAGTTTATTTCAAGATTATTAACTGAAAAAATTTTAATGTGAAGCTATTATTTTTAACCCTTGTTCCTTGTCCTGATATGAAATAGAAGGACTATTTATTGAGCATTTGGTATCACTTAAATATTTGGAACACGTGTGGGAAATGGTTCCTGCTTTCTTGGTATTTTTATTCTAAAGGAAACCTGTCTAACCTCCTTTAGATAATTTGGTGTTTTGTTCGTTTATGTATATCTATCTTATTCTAACATAATAATTTAAAACAGAACTGGCATTCTTGAAAAATTGATTTCTATTTTTTGTATGATTCTCCATGACTTCAGGACACTTATAATCTAAAAGGCAATGTAACATTCTGATCTTAAAAATTATCTAGACAATTTTTTATCCCAGAAGCTTGAAGTTCATTTCCTATCTGCTTTTTAAAAGAAAATAATTTCTAAACTCAATTTCATTGGAATCATTTCTCTAGAAGTGATTGATCAATGAGAAAAAAAATCACAATTTACTGATTTATTAATATCTCTATTATAGGGTCAACCGTTCAGGATTTCTTTTTTTTTTTTTTTGCACGTTTTGTGAAAAATAGTACGGTGCTGCATTTTGAATATCCTTCATGTGCTAGTTCCTAAAATAAGAATTTTGAGTCATTAGATGAATTTAACAAATTGCAGCTGTGCTGAAAAAGTCTGGGATGCAACTTAATAATTTAAAATTTAAAATGAACATGACATACTTAATATCAAATATTGTCTAATGTCCAGATAAAATGGAACAAGTCAGAAAATTGTAAAAATTAGTATTTCTTTTTCATTATGTCAACGAAGCTAAGTAATCATTATTTTTTTAACACCATGTTCTATCCTGTTTAAAACTGTGGCTGACTATGACTAAAGTGTTAGAATTTTTAGAAATATATTTTATTCTATGTCTCATTTCCCTTGTAGGTATACATCTCACTAACAATGTTACATTTACATAACTATGATTAAAGAATATTATCTTGCTCCAGTAAATGGTTATTCAATGAATGCAACATTGCTGCATTATTATGATTTCTTCAAGGAGAATTAATCTATTTTTAGTATAATTTAAACACTGAGACTATTTGTGCTATTTTTGATATGAGAAATGAGGCTGCCCTGTATTTGATGGCAAAACTTAGTATCTAGTCAAGTGCTTTTTTTTCCAGAGAAGAGTATTCAAATCAGAATCTTGTCTACTAATGACCTGGCAAAAGTAAAGGTTTAAATCTTTTTTAATGTTACTGAATGTATTCACTATCTCAATGGTTTTCCAATTATTCAGTAATGTTCTTGTCTGATTTTAATATTGAATTTTATGTTTTAATACATTTTTGCTCCTTGTCAGCCACTTTTCAAAGGTCAGACCATTAAGTTCCTTTGGTTGATTTTGTAGGAGGGCAGTTGTCAGCTATGGAGAATCACCCAGCTATATTAACTATGCCAGGTGAGAGTAATTACACATGTGTGTGTCAAATTCATGTAGGGCATGTGGTGTCAGTATATGTGTGGATTACATTCCTGTCCTGTCTCGAGTAAATGGTGCGTTCACTGAGTACTTGTTCTGCTGCGTGCAGCGCCTGCTGCATTTCTGGCATTTGGTAGATATTGAAATAATAATAAAGCAGCCTATTTTTTTTTAATTTTAATGTCTCCAATACAAACTTTACAAAAACCTGTATAGCATGGAAACAATGTATTTTTGGGTACAATTTGCAAGGGCCACTTTGAATATCAACCACTAATCTTTTATGTGTTTTGAAAATTTTGCAAAGTAAGATTTCTGTCTCCTACTAAATGACACCCCCCCTTTTTGTGCTTGATTCATGCATACTAACAGTCACCTCCCTTGCCACCAAAAGGCTTTAAATGCCTGCAATACACAGCTGTGGTCTACAGATGAATTTCTCATCATGTTCAGCCATAATAGGTGTAAAAATCCTAATTTTGGGCAATTTGTCACTGGAGAAAGTAAAAAATAGTTTATAAGAATAAAAGAAGCTATGAGACACTTCCCACGTGTTCTGCAGACCATGGAGTTGTATGAAACTCTTAAAAAGCACCATGAGTGTATCCAGATACAGTTCGATGGGATAGTAAGACCACTGCCATCAATTATTTAAAGAAAGCCTGTCTCGAGACAGCCATGCCAAGCACCTGAATCCATTTTAATGGTGGAAGTGGACACATATGCTTAGGGAGTTCAAATCCTTTATGAGCCGCACTCCTGTATGATATATAGACAATGCAGAGCTGTGCTTTTTTTCTTTCAGCAATGTGGTACTCTGCAGTACCTGCTTTGCACATCCATTTGAATCTATTAACATTATGACTGCTATTCAGAAATGCTGAGACACTACTTTCCATTCAAGTACTGAAGACAAGAAAAATTGGTGCCTCCCAAGATCTGGCAAGTATGTTTTTATTTGTTTCTTTTGAACTTGAAAAAATTGGAAACATTAATTGATTAATATCAAATACTGAAATTGTATTTCTCTTGACAAACTATGCCGGAAGTTTTCATGACCTTTGAACAGTCTTATTCCCAGGAGCACCTGTGTTGTCAGCATCATATCTCAAAAAAGATGATAGAGTAAATGCTATTTGATGATACAGTAATACTATTTGACATTTATTTCTAAGTTCAGATTGGACACACTTATTCATTTAATCATGAAGAACAAGTATAAACTTACTGAAAGTCCAACTCAAGCATCCTTGAATTCACAGCATCTCTGGACATAAACATATCTGTATTATACTTTGTATTTGTTACATTGCGTTGCAAACACTTGAAAATGTATTGAAATATGGAAATGACTGTGAAGAAAACCACATTTTATATTAAATCAGCAATATATGTACTTTTCCTAAAAGTAGATGATGTTAAATAGCAGAAAATATTTATATTATTATATCTTTTATTCTTACTTTCGTTAAATTGATCAGATGTTTTCTCACAGCATATTACATATATTCTGTATTAATATATAGTTGGGATTTTATATATTTAATTCAATTTTTCAGTTGTTGAATGTCTTTATCAAATGTGTTCAGAAAATGACATAGACATTTAATCTAAAATTGCAGAAAGAAGTAACCCACAATTTTCAAATTATGTTCCTTTTGTCTAAAAATGAGAGTCTCCTAAAGTTCTTCTCCAGACTCATATGACCCCTCAGCATCTTAAAAGGCTCAATTTTAGTTTAAAGTTTTCTGTTCTTTCCAAATAATAGTTCCTAACCAGATAATTTTTACTTTTGTTTTTCTTTTCTATTGTCTCAGTTTTGGCAATTGAAACAACCTGATGGAAATCTGGGAAACACAGAAATCAGACCCGTGAGGTTTGTGGAATCTAATATATTTTCACTACAGGGGATTTCAATGTGTAAATCCTAAATGCCACAAAAAGGTGACGGGTCCCTGAAGGTTAACATTTGCATGGTTTTGTTTCTATTTTAAATATACCAGTTCCTTCCGCTCTTCCAAATCTATAAATTCTTGGACAGCACCATAAATGTACACACTTAGACACATAAAGCGAAAGTAAAAGAGGAAAATATACATGAAGTGTGCACAACTAGCACAATTGTGATTAATTTTTGATCACCTTGGGTATTTCACAAATTTAAGTTTGAAAGTTTCCTTCTTAACTAAAAATTCAAATGCCTCCAAGCAAGCAGCCCTTTGAATTTGAAACTCCCCCCAAGCCCTAGGCAGCTACTACCGTGCTGGTTGCTGTCTTCCACCTTTCCATGTTACTGAAATTGGCGACATTGATTTTCTTCCTCCTTCATTCTTCTCCTTTCCAATGTTAAAATTAGCGTCTGAGTAAATGCTGAGATCTGTGAAGAAAGAAAAAACTATAAACCATGGGCAAGTAGATGATTTTTCATACCAAAGTCGTTAAGGAAACAACATGAAACTGAGTATATCAGTAGCTAGTCCAACTGAATATCACACATAAATAAACAGTAACCTTCGGGACCACCAATCTGTAAAAGGACTACCAGCAGGACTGATCCTATTGTTTGGATCACCGAAACCCAAAATAAATAAATAAATTACAGGGTCTATGTAAGTGAGAAAGCAAGCCAAAACTTTACTAGTTCTGTCTTTTATATATCATATTATGTCACTCATGTCAGATTAAAAAAAAAAAAAGATCAGAAACACTGAGACTGTTCAAATTACTTGTCTTTTAAAAAAGAGTATTGATGCCTTTTACACTGTTAGATAATTTTCCTCTTCAATTGCTACACTACACAATTATCAAATAGTATAAACTACATTTAAGAAAAAGATTGATAATTCTCACCATCCATTCCATCACTTACCCTTTGTTTTCTACACTTTGAATTTGAAACAAAGTCCACAAATCACTTTAATGTCTATATTTATGGCTGGCAATACACAGGCCATGTGGGACAGGGCAAGGGGCCAGAGCCTCGGTGTTTTAACTCTCACAGTGATTCATGAAGGAATGTTTCATCTTTGGTGTATCTCAGGGGTTTAGGGACAAGCAGAGCTTCTACAGGAAGTGCTTCAAGCAGATCAATAGTGCACCAAAGTTTTGCTGCTAACAATTGAAATACTGGTAGAGAAAGTTTAGAATTGAGAGAATTTAGAGAAAATGAAAGAAAACAAGGCTCAGACTTACAAAGGGCGTGCTAGAACTGCTTGGCTTATATTCAATGGGTATGAAAGAGTAAATGATCCTCAACTGTGTAATTCATTTCTGCCGAAGTTTGTATTGACATCACGATTGAACACTTCCATTCTATGAAAATTACAGGCCCTTAGAAATGAAACAATTTAGTGGGATTATAAAATGTTGTGGCCACCATGAAAAACAGTCTGGCAGTTCCTCAGAAAAGAGAAAGAAACATCACGTTCCACATGACACAACGATTCCACTCTGAGGTATATTCTTCCAAGAAAACTGAAAAAAATATATATCCACAGAAACTTGCAAATGAATGTCCTCAGCAACCTTATGCAAAATAGCCAAAAAGTAGAAGCAACTCAAATTCATCAAAGGAAGAATGGAAAAACAAAATGTGGTATATCCACACAACAGGATTTGATTCAACTACAAAAGTGAATTCCGTACTCCCAAAGGCTAAAATATGGATAACTTTGGAAAAATTCTAAGAGAAGGAAGGCAGTTACAAAAGGTCATATATTGTATGATTCCACTTATATGGAAGAGGCAGACCAGGGAATTTCACGGACACAGAAAACAGATTCGTGAATGCCAGGCACTGGATGGAAGGGGATTAGAGTGTGACTACAAATGGATTTTGAGTTTCTTCGAGGGGAACAGACAATAAAAACCTTCTGGGAACAGATAGTAATGATGGCTATGCAACTCTGTGAATATAGTAAATATCACTGAATTATTCACTTGAAAAGCACAATAAACACACACATCAATGGGAGAAGAAGGTCTTGAAGGGTTCCAGTTGTCTGCAAAACTTTGCATTTAGTTTTTTTTCATTTTTAAAAACAGGACCTAGCAATTACAAGTTGTAAATGTACTTTCATTTTCAGCATTCCATAATTTCACGTTCTGATTACCATACCAAGATCTGGTGATCTCTCTAAGTAAAGTGCCTATAATAATTAGGTATATAAAAAATCCTATAAGGGAAAATATAAATACCATAAGAACACAAGTGCCAAGTGTAAGAATTATTATAAACTCATTGGAAAGATTGTCCTACTTTAATTAATAGAAATGATTATAACTAGGAAGCATATGAGAAGGTCAATTAATTTAAACTGAAAAAATTGGGGAACGTTGAAACACATATTGTTATCATAGCCATGATGGCATTAAATAATCTAAAAAATTATTATTGAAGGGGAGATTTGGAGTACAATTTTTTTTTCTTGAAATAAGGCAATTTTAAACTTGAAACAAAATAAACTATTCTGGATTTTGTCCTAAATTATGACTCAAGTGATGCAGGAGGTGATTATGGCAGAATGATTAGGAAATACTGATTAGTGTACAATGAACGTCAACATTCTACTAATGCATGCAGGATTTGAAAATAATGCACTTTAAGATTATATTCTTTCGGAAATAAGAACTAACAGAAAATGAGAGCAATGCCCTAGGGCCAGAGAAAAAGTAAAGTTTTCAAAAACGAAATTGCAGAGAGAAGTATAACAACTATTCAAAACACTTTAGAGAAAGTCTATAAACAATGATCAAGAGGGTCAAGGACCTGAGAAATAAGCACACATATTCAATTTGGGAGAACAAAGGACAACATGATAAAGAAGACAGCTTTTATAAAATGAGGGAAGGTAACAAAATCAAGATTAACAAGAATCCTTACCCAAAGTGACATAGGTGATACAAAGCTGGAAATAGTTGGATCAAATACAAACAGAAAACCAAGAAACCACTTTTGAAGAAAGCTGTAAGATTAGCATAAAAATACGTTCACAAAGGAAAACATAGTCATTTTTCTGAAGTGATTTTACCTGCTGCTCAGAAATATATTGAAGTTCCAGATACTCAAAATGGTTAACAACAATTAGTTTTATAGTTTTACCTTTTCCTGTGTGTCACAGTGCAGGGATCAGATAATTTTCAGCATTGTGAAGCCAGCTTCTCTCATATAACAGTATGCATCCATATCTTTTCATGGGTTATTAGCATATTTCTTTTTATTTTATAGTCCATTATATGTGGCTACTACAGATTGTTTGTCTATTAACTTATTGAAGAGCATCTTTTTTTGCTTCCATCTTGGCTCTGCTGTGAATAAAGATGCCATAAATATTCACATATAGTTGTTTATGTCTACACATTATCAAATTAATTGAGCATGATTACTGAATAGGGTAATAAGATTAGTTTACTTTTGCATAAAACCTGCCAAACTGTCTTCCATGTACTTGTATGAGTTTGGATTCCTTTCAGCAATAAATGAAAGTTTCTGATATTCTACATTTTCACAAGCAATTAGCATTATCAATTTTCTGTCTTTTATCCACTTGTATTTCAACATTCTTTTAATTTGCTATTCTCTAATGACAAATGGAATTAAACATATTTTGTGTGTTTATTTCTAGTATCTTTTATGCTGGGGTTATCTGTTCATACCCTTTGTCCATGTTCTGAAATACATTTTTACTTCACTAATGAGTTTCCTGCTAGGAGTTCTTCATATGCTCTACATACAATTTTTTGAAATAAGTCATTTACAAATATTTCTCCCAGCTCTGGACTTGTCTTTTCATTTTCTTAATAATGTCCTTCTCAGAGAAGTTTTTCATTTTTAAAGTTCAACTTAGCAATCTTTCCTTGCACATATCATCATTGTAATGTTATATCCATAGCATCAACCAGCGGTTTTACAATCCTGTGTTTCACATCTAGTTCTAGGAATTATTTTGAATTAATTTTTGTGGAAGGTGTAAAGTCTTTGTCTAGCTTTCTCTTTTTTTATATGAACATCCTTCAGTTGTTGCAGGACCATTTGGTGAAAAGTCTATCCACTCTCCTTTGAATTGCTTTTGCTGCTTTGTCAAACATTACAATATTTACATGGATCTAATTCTGTGCTTTTTATTCTGTTCCATTATCTATATGTGTATCCTTTTTCACACACCACTGTTTTAATTATTGTGGCTTTCAAGTAATTTACATTACTGAAATCCAGTAATGTGAACCCTCCAACTGTCATTCTTCTGTAGTATTATATTGGCTATTATGGTTCTTTTATCCTTTCAAACAAGCTTTAAAATCAGAGTGTTAGTATCTACCATATGCTGGGATATCGGATGAGATCTTGTTGATCCGGGAAGAATTGACATCTTCACATTGTTGATTCTTCTAATCCATGACCATAGAGTATTTCACCATTTATTTGGATATTCTTTGTCTTCTTTCAGAGTGGTCTTCTAGTTTTCTTTATGTACATACCATGCATATTTCATTAGATTTATGCCTATTCATTATATTGGTACTATCATAAATGACATTTTATTTAATACTTGAAATTTTGATTATTCATTACTAATATATAAAAACTTTCTCTAAATTGATATTGTATTGTTATCTTACTATAATTGCCCATTAGTTCTAGGATAGCATTGTTGCCAGGGCCTGGCAACCCCTTTCAGTGGGGAAAGGGAATTGACAGCTGATGAGGTACAGGCTTTCTTTGCAGGTTGATGGAAAGAATCTGGAGCTGGATAGTGATGGTGAATCCATAATGACATGACTATTTTCCCCTAAAAACCTCACATTATATACTTTAAAAAGATGAATCGTATGGTACACGACTTATGCTCACATCTCACTTTTTTTCTCAAAAGTAAT